GGGCCCCCCCCCCCCCCGCGGGTTCAACTCCCCCCTGGGACGCTTCCAGTACGTGCTATAGTGCTATGTTTAGGTGGCAGGTGAAGTAGGCCACTGTTTGAGTTTGGAAGGGGGGGGCATGAAACATGAAATTTACGCGAGGGTTCAAGGCTTCAATGATGAGCATCACGGGAAGTCAGAAACCAGGCATATCAGATACACATGCCTTTGAGCTTCCTTCGGCATCTCAGTGCATATGGCTGACACTTCACTCGACAAAGATGCTCAAACAAACATACATAAACCAGGTGTATCTGATACGCCTGGTTTGTGACTTCCCGTGATGCTCATGATGCTGCGTTGCTTTTCTTCAGTCCCTCATTACATATACATGACGATCCAACAGCAGATTCAACAAGCTCACATGTTCATGACATCGACATCGATAGAAGAAACCAAACAAATCATACAAGCAGCTTTGTTTTGCCTCTGGGACACCTCTTGGGCACCTCTTATGGCATCCACACTGGTTCAACTCCTCCGTGGAGGTTTTGGGATACGGATGGATACGGTGCAACAGGTTCAACAAGCTCACAGGTTCGTGAACACATCGGATGCATCGAACAGTGTGGCAAAGTCCAGCCACGCTTCCTTAATTATCGGGGACTTCAATTCTAAGGTTGGCTGTGTCATTGCTGTTTGTGTGTCTTTCATGTTCACAACGTTTTACCTCATGAGCATTTGCCTCACTCCGCTTGATGTCCCACCAGTCCGGATGCACCCCTGCTAGCTTTCGTCACCTACCCTCGGCCTCAAGTATAGGAAGAGCTTGTTATGGAAGAGCTTGTTGATATCCTCGCTCAGAAAAAGCTCGGATGTGATGATATCCTGTACATTGATCCGTCTTCAGATCCGTCGACTTGGTGTCTCTATGGCATCCTTTCTTCAGCAAAGCCATCGCTTCGACCCAGCGCCCCACCACGGGTGTTGAGAGCGGGGCAGGTCACTCAGATCCCAACAGTTCCATTCGGTTTCGACTCTTCAGATCCAAACCAGTGGAGGAAGACTCTTCAGATCCCAACCAGTGGATGTGAGTTGTTCGGTGAGCAAACAAAAAAACCATCCGCTCGTTCCTTGCCGGACGTCGGACGGACGGTCGGTATGGTCATGACAATCTCTGATGACTCTTTCAGTGGCACTTCCCGAACAACTGCGCCCCTGTAGAAGAACATCTCCAAATATCCTGAAGCCTTGAGTCCTTCACTTTGTTTGTTTCATTCGATCACCCAGGCGCCGAACCTCGTCGCCGTCAGGTCGCGGCGACGCAGCGGCGACGTCGCCGGCGTCGTGGCTGCGGTGTGGGACCTTCCTGCTGCAGCACGCCTTTCGGCTCCTGCCCTTGCAGTGGCTCCGACACTTCCTAGGCGACCCACGTGTCCGCGGGGTGGCGGGACGAGCCGAGGTCGACGGTCATTTGGAACTCCTGGCGAGGGTTATATATAGTAGCAGGTTTTGCAATGCCCATTTATGTAAAGCTTTAGGGGCTCCCACCACCAAAAGAATTTGATAGGTTGACTGTTTACGTGCAGATTGTCCCTATATCAATAATAGTATAGGGCCGTATAAGGGGTTCGCCAGAATCCACTCATCCCTTTGGTATCCTTTTTGTGGCCTGCTCAGGACCCCTGTTTCATCCCCCAAAACCGCTGCTTCCGCCGGAGGCTACTTCGACCCACAGCGTTTCCAGCAGCTCCGCAACAAATCCGCGGAGAACACGACTCCCCAGCCAGACACCCCGCGCGGAACGCCGCGCTGTGTGCGCGGAATGCGGAGGTGTGCTTGGCCTGCTGGACGACGGAAAAGAGAAGTGATGTTGGGAATAGGGCTCAGAGTGGAGTTAGGCTAGTTGGGTGTTCCAAGAGCAATGACAGCTGAAGAAGATCCTCTATAATTAATTTGATTGATGCTATTGATGGGGAAGGTCAAGGATGGAACTCCAAACCAATGTCGGTGTCATCCATGCCGTGAGCAGCTCAATCGCGGCAATCGCGAGCGACATGACCGGGTCTCGATGGTCGGGTTTATTCGTGCCGTATGCGTCAAAACAGACCACATCAGGGGGATGTAATGTAGACTCTTGATTCAATAAACAACACTGAAGAGGTGTTACAACCCAAATGGTGGGGTGTCATTTCGTTGTATCAATCAATGGAGTCTACCGGGAAGATCTCAATTGTTTAATGCTGATGCTGAGTTGTTGTTTGTTGTTTGAAATTGCTGGCTTCAAGCCTTGAACAAAAAGTTTCCTTGGGCTTGGAATCACTCCACCGTGCAGCCGGATGGTCTAAGAGTCCAAGAAGCTCAAACACATGGAGCCTCGTTTGATCGGAGAGGATCATTGATTGATATTCATTGCTATGGTCTGACAGGCCATGTTCCACACTGCCACTGGGTGAGAACTACAAGCAGTTCCAGTTCATGAGAGGGAGACCCACAAGCTCCAACATCTGAACAAATAACTAAGAATTATCTGATAGTTTGATGATGGTTGATCATAAATCAATATAAATCATACATCCAGGCTGGTTGGATGACTCCTTCAAATTTGGGGTGCTCTTGAAGGGAGGCAAGTTGCGGCAAGAGGCCATGAAAGGATGAACTTGATATGTGTGAATGGGCCTATCTCCTTCACGCACCCCCCAAAAAAGGAGATTCGAACAGTGGCTGCCACATTGCTGCCATTTCCAAAGTCAAGAGGGTCGAAGTGAAGAAGATCGAAACACCGCCATCCCAACACGCATGTTTAGTTGGACATATTTATTTGGAACAAGAACAACTCATGTTCAAACACGCCATCCTTTGCTTGTTTACATGTTGGACGGTTTCATTCGACCGACCGCACCGCATGGGCGACCTCCCTTGAGCATCCCAGTGCCGCGCTCAAGCCACAGGAAGAGGCGCTGGTGCCTGGCTCAAGTACCGGTCGAAGCCCGCCAAGTCTTTTTTTGGGGGGGTATAGGACAGCAGGCACCCCAGTCAAGAGGAGGCTTTGCCCACTGCTTTGCTAGATGTTTCTGTGGAGGGTCGGATTCTGGTAGTGCGGATGACATGGGGCTCAATGGGGCTTCTTATCCCAGACACGACACATGGGACTGCCATATTTGCCCGCCCCATTATATGGCAGTCCCATTTGGGTATAGTTTCACAAGACGGGGTGGTGTTTAGTCCCATCCAGTGAGTGGATGTGACAGGGGCACCCCGACTTCCTCCAAGTTCGGCACCCCTTTGTGACTGCCGGTAGCTTCTTGATAGTAGCTTCACGATTGTAGCAGATGTGAAGAGGTCTCAAGCAGCGCTGCGTGGTGTCAATTCCAAATCAGTGGCCATATCGTGGGGTTCGACAAATTGTTGCTTGGAATATCTTTTCTAGGGCAATAAAGACAAGAGCATCATAGAGCATCAAACACATTCAAAAGCCATCGATTCCCTCGATTCCTTCGATAGTTGCCATCCACGGCGGCAGGTCATGCAGTCTCCCACTTCGCCCTCCACGTGGCCGTCCTTTTCGGCTCCTGTCTGCCGTGGTGCTCTTCGGCCGTTGGCGCTCCAAGGAGCTAGGCAGCTAGGCCCGAAAGCGAGGAAGGGTGGAGTTGAATGAAATGAAATGCACTGAAAACATCAAATTGATTTATTTAATAATTTGTTTAAGAACCAAACATCAACCACGTCATGGTGAACCAGTGCGACGCCTTCTTCATATGTGGTGTTATGAAGTTTAATGAATCAATGGTCAGAGTTTGTTTTAAGTTTTAAGGAATGTATATAGTAAACTTTGGGAGGTGAACACCTTGATTTCCCTTAGATTGTTTGCCCTCGTAAATAAAGAAATCCATTGTGAAGGCTTCTCCATATTATGGGGTTTTGTGAATCAATGGTCTACAGTAGAGGAACTGTTGGAAAGGAGCGATTCGCCCCCCATAGTCCCCCACATTAGCGAGTAGCTGTCGCATGTGTTTGTGCCAGCCATCGAAGAAGCTGCAAGCTCCAAAATGGTTCGTTGTTCCTGTTCCTTTTACTTTTATGCGTTCATGATGTTTCTTTATCGGTCTTTTCGTTGGTATATATGCAAACGGCAAGCAGCTGTCTTTGATAGCCTGCAAGATGCACCAAGCACAGCAACAGATAACCTCGGAGGAGAATGACGTAATGACTCATGACCAGCTAAGATATGTAAATTTGAAGCAACTTGTATAAACTTCTCAGTTTGGAGGGTCCAGCTTGTACGGGTCTCCCCCCCTGAAGGGCACAGGTGGCACTGTTTGACGGCCAAAGTGGCACTCCTGTCGGTGGGTCACCCTACGGATTGGTATGGTTTATACTCGGCTCCTCCAGCAACATCTAAATGAAATCACGACAAAAGGAAACAACGCCATACAACGCCTACCAAAACCACACACACACACCAACAGAACATCTATAAGTCTATACTGCAATACAATCCGTCATAATATGTCATATGTAAAGTAATTACAGGCAGAAACACAAAAGAACATCGAATCACTCCGATTTGCACCACCTTTTTTTTCAACCTCCAGTGGCACCAGGTCGAGAGGCTTGGGAGCTTGAGGGTTGGCCCTGCGGCCGCGCCACGAAGAAGCGGAGCGGCCACCCGCGGGTCACCAGTGACCAGCTGCGACAGGTGCTGCTCCACGCAGGCGCAACGCGCGCGATCGGGCGAGGAAGGCGAGGAAGGCGAGGTGGGAGGAGAGGGGGGCGAGGTGGTGAGTTGAGGTGGAAGGTGGTGAGAGTTGTTGAATCTGTTGTCAACAACATTGCATTTTCTGCAGTACCTTTGGGAATCTGAGCTTTTCTCCCTGAATACTAGATTTGTGCGGTGATCATCAAGAGCAAGCAAAGCAATGGCGAGAGAAGGAAGAAACCTTGGACTAGTGGATTGGAACAGATTTTATTGGACCAGGTTATTTGATTCACTGTAGGTCGAAACGTATCAGAAATCATTGTGTTCCATGTGCGGAGCAGGTGTGACATGTGGTTTGACAGGGTGACGTGGATGGATTTTGTTGCGTGCGCCAGCCTGTGTCGATTGACCTGCCAGGCTATTCCAAGGGAGGGCCACAAAGGATTCCAGACAAGATGGTGCCAAGACGGTAGCCGTTTTGGGACGTTCTCACACGAGTTTTTTAAAAGAGCAACGGTGTGAGATGCCGAGACTATCTGAGACTCTTGCCAGACATGCTTGTGAAACGCAGAAGGTCTTTGGGCCTGAGGGCCTTACCAAAGGTGTGTGAATGGTGAATTCAGTCACTTCGCTGTCTCGGGGAGGTTTAGGGCACCGCCTGACCCTGGGCAGCTGGACCACGCCGGCATCGAGGGTGCTTTGGTCGCAGGTGATGCTGGGCTTCCAGCAGGATGAACAACACAGTCATGCAGAATATGTATAACATAAGTTTTGGTACTTAGGTGTACCCATTTAAGGGTGCACTTTTGGGTCGAATTCACGTACAAAACTTGAATCCTGCCAAGTCCTTCCCAGTCCCTTCCAATCCGACATCGCCCTGAGCTCGCTCCGTCCTCACTCGCGAAAACTTCGCATCCGGAACTCTTACTTTTTCGCAGAGACGAATGAGGATGAGCCTGAGCCTGCAAAGCTGAAGGGCGTGATGAAGCTCGACTCAAAGAATTTCCAAACGATAAAAACACCAAAAAACATACCCTCCTTGAGGAAAGAACATGGTTTCGTGGACGGAACCCTTTTGGGTCTTCGGATGTCAATGGATGTCATTGTTTTTCCAGAGGACGTCCATGCAATGCAACCATGATTGTTGCAGGACAGGGTATTGAAACGGCATTTCTTGAGTGCATTTGTACAGATGATGGCTTTGCTCCAGCCAGGCGCCTGGAGATGCAACAAAGTAGATCAAGATAGTATGATGTGCAGGTATGTGAATGTGCAGGTGTTTGAAAGGTTTTGTCAAGAATCAACTGGCGAATTTGAGAACCTGTGCGCGGTCATCACATGTGAAGGGTGTGACACCTGCTTTAGCCATTCAAGCACGGGCATGTAGCTCATTTTGGAGTCTCCTGACTGTAAGTGAGTAACCGTGTGGTGGTTGGGATGCGCTTACTTGGCACCTCTCTACCCTCATGCTACCGCCGCTACCTCCGTGCCGCGACCGTCGAGGAAGGCGGCGTTGGGTCGCTGCAATGCCTTGCTGGCCAACGATGCCCTGCGAACTTTGCACCTCGGACGGGACCAAGGGAGCGCTGCGGCGAAGGGGACCCTCGAGGGCGACGACGGCCACGGCGATGACGAGCGAGGGCAGTGAGGCAGTGAAGGGAGGCATGGGGAGTGCAGCCCAAGCTGCCGGGACTGCTTGACGCCAGGGCCACTTTAACGTTCGGAAACGTGGCAGGGCTTTTCAGGCCCTTTTTTTGTTGGCTCAGCTGCGCAGTCCAAGACAAAGCCGACCAAGAATACACTGAATACACATGTTGGTCTTTGTAAAGTTTACAGGTGTACAGACAAAAACGCTATTGGTCTAGGGAGCCAATCTCGGGATTGCCTTCCTAGACCCATCCCCTCAGACACGATCTTATCGTACTACAAGACCCTTGGAGCTTGGGATAGCTTTGGGCTTTGTTTTACCAAAACCACTACAAGCCTTTGATGTCGTCCCGAGTGAATTGGATACTTTCTTTGGCATTCTGCAGGAGCGAGGTTCTTGGAGTATCTCGGAGTTGAGCTCTTGAGCTCTTCTAAACTTTCACATGTTTCCTCCCAAGCTAGTTTTCCACACAATTCTTGAAGTATGACAAAAGATGACAAAAGCACTTGTCAGTGTTGAGAATGATACACCTGGAATTAGTAAATGAGGTTTAATATGAGTATATATATATATACCATGATGTTTTCCCATGTGAGGAAAAGGCATCATGACTCATGATACCCAGATATAGACCTATGGTCATTCGAGTTCCAAAAGTCCAGACGTCAGGCTCGACCCCTTCGGACGCGGACGCGCACGCCCAGGAGCCACCTCCTCCGCCAGAAGCGTCTACCAGCTCCGTCGCAGGGGCGCTTCGAGGCCTGGTCCCACCAACTGGTGGAGCAAGCACTGCACTGGCAGTGCCCCAGCGAGGAGCAACTGGAGGAGACGTGCCAAGTGCCAAGTGCCCCCCCGGTGTTTTTGGGTTCTGTGGGATGGGTGGTGATAGGGAGAGTTTTACTCTTTGAGTGGTTGTTGCTGCTTTTCTTTTTTAAAGGAAGGAAGGGCAGTTTGTGAGACTATAAGCATCTACAAGCTAAGTACGTGTGCGGACTGTGTGTTATACCGAGTGGGTATCATCAAACAATAATAGCAAACATCTAAGCAAAGCATGTCTCAAACTCAGCAATGGTATGGTAGCAGTGTGTGTGTGACTTGTTGGAGCCCATGCTATGGGCCAGATGGAGGCATGTAACTAGCAGCTTGTTCATCGCAGGCATCACCCAGACACGAGTTTCTTGGGACGGGCGTCTGTACTCAAGTGGGGTGGTGGTATAGGGGGGTCTGTCTGGGGTGGCAGAACTATGCCAGTCCCATGGAGTGTTTGGGTATAATACTGGGCTCAAGGACCTGAAAAGAAGTTTCGATCAAAGGACAAAAGCACCAGATCTGAAGAAAGACTCCTCAGCCGCCCCCAAAACCTCCCTTCTGAAAGAGTCCCGCCCAGCCCAGCCGCCCAAAACCTCCCAAAACTGCGCCAGGAGCAGCTGATCCAGGAGAGATCAGGATCCAGCTCGGTTGAACCGGTTGAGGCGTTGATGTCGAGATTGGTGAAGCAGTTGCTTCCTGAGTGGCTCGAGGCGGCTGAACCCGCGGAGCGGTGGTGTGGCACTTGAATTTTTGGAGCGACACACGGGCATGTTCGATGCTTACCTCACCGGAAGAGACACATGTTTTTGCAGCAAGACCGGTGAGTTGGCACGCTTTAACAAGTGAAGATCCTGGATTTGGAAGTGCAGTCTGGTCAGGCGATCAAAGAATGCGGAATTCGGAATGGTGCTAAGTGGCAACAAATCCAGCCATGAGACCATATGAGACCTTATGAGATCTTTAGACCCTAGAGATACGTGCAAGTACTGCTGGATAGGTACGGAGGGTAGATCCATGGTGACTGAGCTGCATGTGCTCCATGCAGGCCCCTTGGGCACAAAAGGCCGCCGACTGGCGCCTGAGCTTGGCCTTGGAATGCTGGGATCGATGTGCCACGCAGTGGGACGTGGAAGGCGGAGATCGCGTGGGGGAGGTTCGTGGCACGGTGGTACGGTGTGTCGTGTGGAAGCTGAGATGGCTGAGATAGTTCGTGTGAGGTGACACGGAGAGACAGTGAGAGTGACTGGACCATGTGCGGTTGCAGTCAGGATGAAGCAGTGAATCAGTCCACCCTTATAAGGGGAGAACATGGGAGAACCATCCTGGTTTTGCCTCGTGCCGCAGGGCTTCTAGTCGTGCTCCTTTTGGCGCTTTTGGTGTATGTGTCCAAACTGTCACTTTAGAAGGTCTCTACGTTATATCGTCTAGACTGTTTTGAGGTTATTTTCACCTAACAGACATCACATTGCCTTGGAGTGTTCGTTCGTCATGTTCTTTCCCACTTCAGTGGTTTCGCCGTAGGTGTGGGGCTCTATGCAGCCATTGCATTGGAACTAGGCGCTTGCTGGGGTGGCAAGCAGCTTCAGGGCTGGAGAGCGGTCGAATCTGCCTGCGGCTAAGCGTGACCGAGTAAGTGATGCCACCGTGGCAGATGTGGATCGGGAGGTTCTCCAAATCACGCACTGGGCAGTTGATTGAACTGGCGGCGCAACCCCCAAAGGCAGCAGTTTTGTTCCAAGGCGCTGACCACATCCGACCATTCTATATATGTATATATACACATACACTTGGGGGGTGTCCTAGTACCTGTAACAGTCGGTGTACAATTATCACTATTTTAGAGAAAGACCTGCAACCCAACCAACATCATCCACTGTTACTGGGCATAGGATAGACCCGTTATACCTACCAGCAGCTTCAGGAACTCGGGGTCACCTGGTTGGAAGACCCTGCTAGACTGGGTCGACAGGTCCAGGACCCCGGGTTTCTGAAGGTCCAAGGACATCTAGAACCAGCTCAGTTCAGAAGACATGTTGCATACGTTAAACGATCTACACTCCCTTGGAAGACCATGTTCCTCTACAAACGGGGGGGGTGCCACTTCCTAGTTTCAGATGTTTCAGGGAGTGTAGGTATAGCCTATGCTGGCCATAGCCTATGCTATAGATGTCACGGCCACGCTCGGGCTTGAGGCCCCCGGAGAAACAAGGACCAATCACTGAGATGGGTTCATGATTGGCGACGTCCGCTTCAATGCACACCGGCCTTGCCCACCTTTGATCAGGGTCTTTGGATGCTTTATGTTCGGAGGGGGTAATGCGATTTGGAGATGTTTGGCAAAATGCTTTGAATCTCCAATTCCAAAAGGATCCATAGTGGCGCACATATGGCCTACATTTGGTGGTGAATGTTGGTCATATTTGCCATTTATGGATCGTTTGGGAATGGTCACGAGAGTGAAGTATGAATCCCAGATAGGAGGTTACATTCAAGGCTTTAAACATCTGCTTCTTGAATTGGAATGCATGCGAGAAGCAATCAAGCTCTTCCGCCGATCTTCATTCATCGCCGAGAAGGCGACCACCTGCGGTCGCCCTTGTTTGGTCAGGCGACCGCGGCGGTGCGGGCCGGGCACTGGAGCAGTTGGGGCGGGCCGTGGATTGGCGCTTGGCGTTTCAGCCTCTCAGGTTGAAAGGTGGAGAAAAACCGACCTTCGAAGACTCGAAGGAAGGTTCATGAGTTTGCGGGAGTGGGAGTGGGAGTTGAGTGAGGATTCTTTTGGTAACGGTTACCGGGCCATGATGATTGAGGTTCATGATGGCGAATGAGTGAAATGATGATGGTTTATGAGGATGATAATGTGCACTATCAATGTAGGTGTCATTCTCCAGCTGAGCTTGTGAATAGACCACGGCTGAAGCTGGTTAGTTCGTGAACACAGCAAAAGGGTGAGGTGAGTTTTTGTTTCGCGATTATTGATCTTCAGGCCCTCTAAAGCATCCAAGTAGTGACATATTGGAAGAACCCCTCTTCATTGTTCTGCGGCACCCCCAAGTGGTTTGGATTCGCTGTGGGCTGTGAAGGAGGCTCCTTGCAGTCTTGCAGCGGGGATCTCGCTGAACGTTTTCTTTGACAGAAGAGATTGTGATTAGCTAGCAGTCAAAGACCACAGATAGCTTGAAAGTTAAACATAAAAGACATTGTTTTGTGAGAGATTGTTGAACTAGGAGCAAGAAGCTACTAGGGGCTCCTGGCCTTACTACTAGGAGCAAGAAGCTACTAGGGGCTCCTGGCCTCACTACTAGGAGCAAGAAGGGGCTCCTTGTTTTGTGAGAGATTGTTGAGGGCACCTGAGTTTTGATGCCGGCTGAGGCCAGCTTTCTTGGAGGATTTAGCCTCCAATGGCCTCACACCATGCAAGGCGCCCAGCCTTGATGCAGGCGCCACGGCACGGCGCGGTTCCAAGTGATTTGGCTCACACAGAAGGCGTGTTTGGATCTATCAGAACTCAAGTCATTGGAGGTTCTGAGAGTTAGGGAAGGCCTGCTGTATGCGGGCCCCACCACAGGAATTCCGAATAGTTCTGACCTTTAAGAAGCCCATCGGAATTCTCCGCAGCATGCATGTTCACTGGCCATGCTGAAATTTCGCGGCAGGCTATGCCTATTTGCCCGAATTGGTGCAAAGAGCTGCGGCTCTGGCGGCGCAGGGCACGCTGCAGGGGGTGCTGCGCAACTCGGGCCAAGGGATGGGGGTCTTGGGAATGTTTTGGGCGCTTGTTTTGGGCTCTTTGCGCGCTTGGAGGAATGTTTTGGGCGCTTGTTTTTGGGCGCTTGGAGGGGTCTTGGAAATGTCTTTGGGCGCTTCCAAATGATTTGCAATTTTCCACTTGCCTGATCTAGCATGTTCGTTGGATGGAGGTATATGATCAGTTGAAGACCTCACATGTGCAAACCGGCCATTTGTGTTGCCAACTCCGCCCTCGGCTGCGGGGGCGGTGCCTTTTCATATCAGCAAAGGCTCCCACGTTGGTCTTGAGAGGCCCTTGGGTGGCTCAGATTTGGCTTCAAAGTGTGGTGCACTGACATCCAAATAAGTGTTGAGATGGCAATCGCGGAGCACATCTTACTGGCATCTTTTGAGATGAGTTGTACTGACATCTTACTGGCATCCCAAATAACCCAAGGCAACGTGAAGTTTTGAGATGCCAGTGGGATGATTTGGGATTATTTTTACGACTCACCAGAGTTTCCTGCCAATTTCTTCCAGTGTGTTTTTTTTTGGGTAGGACATGATGGGTTTAGCCGTTTAGCCGGTTTAGCTATATGTACGTGTGTAGTGTAGACTCTTGATCAATAAACCCCCCGCATGAAGAGGATGTCCAATTCAACTTGGGGGGTGATTATATAATTAAGAGTCTACATTATTATAGGGTTGGAGAATTCCCTAAAGGTGGATGGAAAACGGCTCCGACGACTCGGATGACCCTTGAAGTCTGAAACCAAGCAGGTGATGCCATCAAGTGCCATGCACTTCCATGATGGTTTCAGCTACCTAATTCTAAGCTGATCTAAGGTTTGTATTCCAGTCGCATTGAGTTTCTGGGGGTTGGATTTAGCGAGTTCCTAACGACGTTTTCATGCTTGAGGGCGCCGGCATGGTGCAGTGCTGCTCGATGGACCGCGAGTGGTTACTGAAGGCGAGAGAGCATGGACCGGAAAGAGAAGTCAGACCTTCTTCCCCACAAGAATGCTGTAGAAGGTTTCAGACTGTTTTGCTAATCTGCTAATCCTAGAGGTCAATCGAGGCGGTCTTTCATTTGCTTCAGGCTTTGAGGGCCTCTTTCATTCGTTGCGTTGCATGGCGCAATTCATTTTCATATTGGTAGAAATCTCTCGGGAGTTGATCGTCGCTGAAGATGAGAAGAGAGGAGGGAGGAGGCCAGAACATGACCAGAGGTGTATAGTGTATAGTGATCTCCAAATAGTATATTATAGATTGAAAAGGATAGAAACGGTTTCCAATACATTTTGTTGAGGGGATCTACTTTTCTATCTATTTGGGGGCCACCATAGTCATGATGGTGGAAGATGGTGCCATCCGTCAGTGGCTGATGTGGCGCACTGCCCCTCGATGATCACACCTGGTCAAGTCAAAGGGGCTCGTGGAGATCAAAAATCCCAATACCAGGACCTTCCAAGAGGTGGCTATATGTAACTATAGCCTCTTAGAGGTGAGTTGGGGGTGTCCAAACACCTGGCTTGGAAGGTCTTGGTAGTACGGCCTAGCCAGCATTCATCAGCAGCCAGCATACATCCAATCAGACCCCAAGACCCAGACTGGCGCTACTGGCGCCAGCTGCAGCCCGCGCCTTCGCCCCACGTCCCCTTCTTCTGCCCGTTCGACTCAGGACCGGACCGGTGCCCCACATGGACATGGAGAACGGACCTGTTTGATATTCGGATTTCAGGGTCTTCACAGGGGGCGCCATCCTTCATATGAGTGAGAACAATGACTCGTATATGCTTACATGGACGGGTCGTGTCTTGGACTTTGAATGAATTCTTAGGAAGATCATGAAGCCTTTCGGTGGGGTTGACAGCTGAAACCCTTGACAATCCAATCTCTCCCTCAAAGGGCCCTGTCGGCCTCGCTGCGGCCCAGGCTTCAATCACGTGGCCGAGCCGTTGCAACAGCGAAGGACCAGGGTCCATTGGGCCACCCCCGTCCGCCAAACCTCAGCAGGCAACGCGAGGCATCGCGAGGCGTTCCATCATGCCTGGCTAGGCCACCGGAGACTTGAAGCCTGGTTTCACCATGTTGGCTTTCTTTCTCCACCCACTGCATGAGGGACTTCGTGACTTTCATGCGTTGAAACCTGCTCGAGCATGAGGAGGGATCAACATCCGCTCTTGCTGCCGAAGTGGAGGAAGACCCAACGGCACGCGGAGGTCACCGGATTATATAGATATCGTTTTGGCCAGGTGAGTCGTCAAGGGCTCGACATGGATCATATTTATATATACTGTACGGATATGTACGGATTATAATGATTATATACTCAAACTTTCCTGGGTAGGAAAATGTTGACTTGCAATTTGGATGGTTTTTAGGGGTGAATGTACGTTGCTTGCAGCCTCCTGCCGGTTAATCCTGCAGAATGTCACGCAAATCTATAGGACGTATGCGATCATGCGATCATGCGATCAATCCGAAACTGCTGGGTTCATCTTGAGGGAGAAAATGCCGGAGGTGATTTCAGGGGGGTCCTTTGACCACTGTGGGTTGAGGCGGTGGCATGATGTGACTCAAGGAATGAACAGTGTGTCAAAGCGGGTATGTTTCACCAAGGGGCTGAGTTCTTGCAGAACAGAGCGAATCAAAACGAAGTGCATTTGTTTGGCCGGAGAAGGCTTCTTGGCTTCTCCGGAGGTGCATTGCCTTTTGCAGCTGCCATCTTTAGCAGAAGCCATGCACAAGCAGATGCTCATCGTCGAGATCGCAGACATAGGACTGGTCGTCGAAGAGTCGTGCTTTTGGTACCGAAACGAAGAAACGAAGAGAAAACGAACATGGAAACGATTAAAGAATGGAAATGACTCCGAGAAAAAATACGTACACACACACACATCTTGCCCATCCCCCGCGACCTGGAAGGAGGCTATAGAGCAGCAACCCAGCCCAAAACGAATGGCAGTTCTGCCTGAAAACTCCGAAGAGGGCTCGTTCTTAAATGTTCTTAACAGGTACACCCGGGAAGATTAACATGGAACCTGAAGATTGGCGTTTGGAAGACCATTTTCCTCTACAAACCAGTGGTTTTCAAGGTTCCATGTTAATCAATCTTCCCCGCATACATCATGGTACAGCCCAGCGGTGTGATGAAATAGGTTGAAGCAACCATTTTCACCAGGACCATCTTTGGGATGGGCGGAGCCCTGTTCCCGCGAATGCCTTCACTTGTTAAAGAAGCTACTTGACTCGCAGCCAGGTACGTACCGTTGTCACGTGTTCTTACACCACTTCCATCACCATCCAAACCTTCTCATCGAACGTCCACGTTCAATCTATATTTTGTTTATCTTATCTTGAATCTTCATCTCTTCTTCTGGTATTCGTCTTAAGGAATTACAGCACTTTTGGGGGCTGGTACATCAGACTTGACTGAAAGCCACAGTGGCATGGTTCTTCCTTACAATAACCTGCTGGCAGTCTCAGGAATGAGTGGAACGAGGGCCATGTAACAAGTGCTGCTGCTACAGAGCTAGTTCTCGGCTTTTTGCCCGAAAATTGGAGTGAGTAGCTTTTGTGCTCCATGTCAGTCATGTTTTGTTTTTGGGTTAACGCCCTACACCAGCAGCGGCCATGCGGAGGCGCCTCTCTTCGCACATAGACTCATACAAACCCCAATGAATTGGTTTGATGCAGCTGAACATGGCCAAGTTGTGAGGGTAGATCGCGCATTCCTGACCTCGAAGATGTAAATATACCTGCACCTTCAAAGGAGTGTCCAATGGAGATCCCTAGGTAGTGGGCTAGGGCTTCCATTCAGGTGACCCCGAGGTCCTGAAGGTGCTGATGTGTATAAATTTGTGGTTCACACGTCATTCCTCGTCATCCACGGCTCCATCGATCCCAATCCAGTCGTCCCAGGTACGGAGTCTCCAAAGTCTTCTTCACCGATGGCCTGGGATCCTTGGTGCAGCGAGACCTTCCACATTGCCCTGAGCTGGATTTTCCGTGCGCCCACCATGAACCAGAAACGGGGAAAGTGACTCTCGAACATCCAGCGACATTCTAAAGCTGACCTCCCCACAAAAAAACGAGAAACAGTGGACCTGCAGAGCTGACCTGCAGTTGCTGTGCTGCTTTGAAGTCAAAAACATCGTTTCCAGGACCCATCCAAAGCTCCCAGGACCCACTCACGCTCCTTGTGCCGCTCGTCCCTGAAGCCCCGCGAACATCACCACCCGGGATGGTCACATGATGTCACATGGCAACAGCCTGTAAGAACCAGTAAAAAGCAGTCATAGAATGACCACTTGGATTATGTTGAGGCTTGAGGACCTGTGCGATCGTGAATCAAGAAATGTATAGATGGTGAAGAAGCTTGGCCATGGTTTTGAAGGAGCCTTGCTTAGAGGGGCATTTTACCTCTCTCCGTTGGGGAGAACTACAAATTATCAACTAACTTTGTGATGCATTTTGGTGGGTCAAGGGTCAGGAAGGGGTCAGGAATATATTTATAATCGTATGTGGTCCAGATGTTCTTCTAAAAATAATGCGAGATTCTTGCGCCGCAACAATGTGTTCAGAAAGAAGTGCCCCGCAGCCGTTGAACCAGCATTCCTTCTCACAAACAGATTGAATCACTCAATTTTGCCTTGAAGATGTGTCGTTCATGATGTTCATTCAACAAATCGTGGCAGTGAACATGTCAAGTATTTCAACAACGGGATTGAGAAGTCACAAGAGTTCGGACCCGAGCACCTGAAAAGGCTTCGAACAAACGACATTTGGGAGGTACAAGACATTTGCCCGCCGACTCAGCGATGATCGAATTTCTGAACGGGCATGGTTGGATATTTCAAAGAAGAATGAAAAGAAAAAAACAAATAATTATATACGGATTAAACATGGCTTATTTATACTTATTTTATATCTATATATGCAAAGAAATATTTGGTATATAAATTCAATATTATTCATATTGTATATATCTATTCATATAATTTTGGATTTGATTTAAAGATATCTATATTTTTTTATGTATATTAATTTTAGATTTTTTCTTATATATTTAATAATTTAGTAAATTATATTTTTTAAAATATAGGGGGATTTTCGTAAATTCATACATTTCGGATATGAATTCGCGATGCGATTAGATAATTTTATTTATATATATATATATTGGAATGGATATCGAAAGGAATATGGAAAATTAAATAATTATGGATTGATATATTGTTAATTATTTTTATTATTCGGATGATAAATTTTGCTTGTATGGATAAAGGAATTAAACATTTAAATAAAGACGAATATGAAGATTTGTGAGATTAAATAAACATATAGAAGAATAGGTTTTTTTAGATTGATTGAATGTATTATTTAATTGTGGTAAAAAAAAATATATATTTTATGAATTCGAACATATATATTTATATATTGATTTGAAATATATAATTAATAATTATTTATATTAAAAGAATGAATATAGAATATTATATATATTATTAAATGATTAATATATAAATATTGGTTTAATATGGAATTATTTAAATTATGTATTTAACAAATTATAAAGATTATAATTTATTTGTATGTATATATATTTTTAAATAAATATTTTAAAAATATTATATAATATATATATATATCATATATTTTTCTAAATAATATATTGATCGAAATTTATTTTATAAAGAATAGAATTGGTCGTATTCTTAAATTCAATTAATTTTATGGTTGGATTCTATATTTAGACCTTATCCTCGTAATATGTTTGTGATCCTCTTTCCATCTCCATATTAATATTAATTGCATAATTATTATTATCCTTCGATTTCTTTTTTTTTTGTTTTTTTTTTTATATTTTCTTATTTTATATTAAGATTTATTAAATCTAGAAAATCATGAATTTTAGGAATTATTTTTTTACGATTCATTTATTCATATTATATTAGATTCGCCTTTAGGGACCATTAGAAAATCTTAAGGTCTGGCTTGCTCTAGCGCAAAGCGATTTTTTTTTGAAGATCCAATTCTATGATCAAAAAAATAATTGGTGATTATATTAAAAAAATCATTTAAATTATTATTAATTAAATATCGATTGTATACTATATCGTATCTTTACCCCAAGAACAAATTCATCAATAAATCTTTGTCGGCATTAATATCATTATTTTTTCGATTATATTCCTTTCCAATCAAATCAAAAATAAAAGAAGAGGATAAAATCCGGACCACAAAGCCCAACCACAGAGTTCAGGGGCGCGACCAAACTAACCTACAAAAAGAAAAGAAGAAAAAGATCGGAAAAAAACCGATAAATAATATATCGGACAATATTATATACAAAATTCAACCATAGAAGACAAGAAGAATTCAAAGACGGGACCAAAAAGAAGATAAAACCTGGATACAAAGCCCAACCGACAAAAAAAAAAATAAAATCTCAATATAAAACCCATCTACAAAATTAACGTATAAAATATTAAAACCAAACATAAAATTAAAGACAAGGCCTAAATACAAAATACAATCAAAAAATTAATAGATGCATTAACGAAAAAGAAAAGAAAAAAAATCAATAAATCATCCAAATATATTAATTTAAACAAATACCTCGAATTCATTTAATTCGACTAAACGATATCATCATCGAATTACCTAAATAACATTAATATAACAATAATAACATTTATAATAAAAATCATATAATATCAAATTAATAATCGAATATTAATATCCATAATTTAATAAACATAAAAATCAATATCATTTAATTCAAAAAAATAATCATCGAATCAAACAACAATAGATATATTTGAGCGGGGAAACACGAAAGGTAGAGACGGACCGAGTAGCTGTCGGGACCTTTTCTGGTGAGGGACTGTCTCCGGTGTTTCAGGAACGTGCCCCTTGGTCAATCATGGATGAAACCAACAAAGCCAGAGCACAAGAAGGCATAAGAAGGCTCATGCGGTCAGATTGCGCCACACGGCTCTGCAGAGAGGCTGCGTTGCGTCGACGCTCGTTTGTGTCTAGGTGTGTGAAAACAGGCGTGCATAAAAATCGCAATGCATGAACGCTCGCATGTGTACCAGGCATGGTCCCACAGCTGCACGCACTGTGTAAGGATTACAGGCCTGCACGCGTTGCGTCGAAGCCGCAGTGACTCAGTGACCAATCCCCTTGTAAGGATAGTGTTGGAGGGGTGCGGCCAGTACTGCCAAGAATAGACGTCACGCTATGGCGGGTATACTCCACGATGCGGTAAGATTTCGCCACGCTAGGGTATAGGGCTAAGTCGAATGGTGTTCCGCGACACGAGGGGTTTCTCCACAGGGCTTTGCAGAAAGGTTGTGTTGCATCGATGCTCGTTGGTGTCGAGCACTATGGTCTGTGAACGCAATATGTGTTGTGTCAGGCATCGAAGCTGCATTGCTCGACCTCATTGCACAGGGTTCGTGCTGTATTACGCAACCTCATGGCCAGCGTCGTATTGCCGTTAAGCGCATGACTTCACCTGTGAACGCAATATGTGTTGTGTCAGGCTGCCGGGTGCGCACGCACGACCTCATTGCACAGGGTTCGTGCTGTATTACGCAACCTCATGGCCAGCGTCGTATTGCTGTTAAGCGCACGACTTCACCTTATGTCCAGAATTTAGTAGTGTTAGCGACGAAGGGAGGGGACGGGGAGGGGAGTAGAGAGGAGGGGGGGAGAGGGGACGGAGAAGGGAGTGGAGAGGAGAGGAGAGGGGGGGACGGTCGAATCAATTAATTTATCAATCATTCATTACATGGAAGGGGGGGGGGATGGGGGTATTAGACATTAATCTACCAATCTTTAGTTCCGAGCAAGCTTTCAAACCAATCCCTTTACTTCGCAAAACAAATTCAAGGTAACCCTTACCAAGCTACCTTTCGTAATATATCGTCGAATTTTTAATTCGATAATTTATATATTATAAATTCAATAAATAAAATAAATCATTAAATTATTATATATATATAAAATATTCAATAATGTAAATAAAAAAAATATATATAGATTTATATTTATATAATAATAAAGAAAATAAAATATTATTTTAAATATATTTTTTATAAATATATTATATTATATATATATTTTAATATTCATATAATTTTTTTTTTCTTCCAAAATAGAAATTAAAATAATAATATTATATGTTGAATATAATATTTAGGAATATATAATTTATTGCAATTATGATCCGAAATAATTATATTAAATATGCAATCAATATGCAATATTGGAAGAATATAATTTTCAATTTATTGAATTGAATTCAATCTTGATCCATTGCCATTGCAATGAAAACCCAAATGCTCAAGACCTCAAGCTCGCATGATGCCATGAACCTCTGAAGCACCTCCCACTAAGAACAGGGCTTGAACCCAACCTGACACATCTGACTTGAGACCAGCACACCGTCAATTCCCTAAATTCCCTGAAGGGCCTGGGCTCACTTATATACTGCTGAAAGGGTTGCCAGCTCTATCAAGTACCACAGGTCAGGTTTGGTTAATCCAAGTGCACTTTGACTTGCGCACGCTCCAAACTGCTGCAGCGGTTCCCATCGATGGGGGTTGGGGTGAACAGCAGGTTTGGTCTATTTCCATAGAACCCAATCGGATACAGGATGATACAGGGCATTTCACTTGCCTCCAGGCTCTGAACTGCACAAAAGGCTGCCACATTGGGTCAGGCACCACAGCTCATCTTTGTTTTAGCCACACGTGTCCTGTCGCAATCTCATGGGGTGATGGGTGGGGAAGTGGGTGGAGCCAGCAAACTGCGCTGAAAGGGTTGCCGCATGGGTCAGGCAGCATGTGAGCACCTGGAAAATTGAAGCCACGCATGCTCCAAGCTCCGGAAGCCTGCTCCGGAACCTCCTGAATTTGCTGCGATACCTTTTACGGAACTTGCTCATTCATTTCCTGCCAAAGGCTCTGAGTCCACGTGAGCAGAATTCGAGGTGCACAAGCGAGCGGATATCGCGACGCGCAAGCAACGCCCGAACCCCATATAGACAGAACTTCCAATGCGGCACACGTCGTCGCACCATCTTTAAAACCCCAAACACTCCCCAATGAACGTCCCACTGCCCTTGTCCCTGTCTGAATTCGCCTGAGGTCCCAGGCCCCCGATGCATAGGGGAAGACTCGCACCTGTCGCATGGCAAGGCAGGTCCAACGCCACGACGCGATGAGTCGAGTCGAGTTCCGGCCGAGTCGGAGTGGGTCGAGTGAAGCCTTCGGTGAACCAGCAGCCAATGAGGAGCGATGAACAGCTGTAATCCTGGAAGTTGGTGGCAGCCCCTGGCCCTTTGGCCTTCGAATTTCATGGTATTCCGGCATATTCAGGCCATGCCGCTTCCCCACTTCCATGTTGGTTCAGTTTACCAAGTCCAATGCAGTACCCCGGAGAGGTTCCATCTAGACGATACACCGTCCAACATCCTACAACGGTTCAACCGCCTGAAATCGGTTCCAACACCGCCTAGGCACAGGCACCTGGAGCCACACTGGTAGGTTGACCATGTCTGGTGATGTCCATTCCCAGGGCATCCAGGCAGTTCCCACGATGTTCGCTGGGAGTCCCGTCGTGGTTCCAAGTTCGACATCAGCACCAGTTCGACCGGTTCCGAGGGCCCTCTGAGGTTCCTTACTACCTTAGTGGTTTCTCTGGGATGCACTCAGTAGTAAGGAACCTCAGTGGTAAGGAGGAACCTCAGGGTTACTAGTAGTAAGGCCTGAGGTTCCCTGGCAACCGGTCCGGGTTTGCAGGTCATATGGTGCTGTTGAAAGCGAGTCGCGCTCTCCCTTCAGCTTCCCCGAAACTCATCGAAAACCAAAAACACTCTTGGTGGAAACAATCTCATAAAGTCTCTAGAAGATGTTCATCCGGAAGCTCAGCTTCCATCACTGCCCAAGTTCGCCCGAGGTCCATCCACTCAAACCCGGCCGTTTGCGAAGCATAACGACCCGACCCTTCGAGACGAAGATCTCGCCGCCTTCAGCGCGTAGTCTGCGCGATCCCCTCCCAGCTCCACGATCCGGGACTGTTTCACAGCGTCCCAGATCAAACTGCATGGCACGGCACGGGGCGGTGAGGAGCGGTGAGGAGCTGCTGAGTTGGATCTGAGGTAGGCCCTGGTAGACCTACATCGTCCAGCTGTACATCGGCCTTTTCATCTATACTCTATACCAGCCAAGTTTGGCATTCATGTTGGAAGAGTCATCAAGGAAACAGGGAGGAGCCGACCCTGCAGCCTCCGGCCCACAAAGCACCGTTCTGTGGCAGGCTGGTGCTATTTTTGCCAGGGTGGCCATCTACCCGTGCACGCTCCGTTCACAGTCCTTGGTCCGGATTGGTCTACGAAACCCCCAAAAGTAGGGGTCTTGGAGTTGGGATCTGGCACTCCGGCTAGGCTATCCGTCCCAGTCTTTTGCCAGGGGAGCGGTGTTCAGAGCCGAATTTCTCGAAACAAACACCTGGGTTTTGAGGGCCCGGACCCCTGCTATGGAGGGTCCGACCCCTGCCATGGAGAGCCCAAGGATTCTTAGGGTGATTGAACTTTTGGGTGGAGGACTGCAAGAACTTCAAAGGAATTGGTTGACATTTGATCGGATGACGATGAGGACGAGCATGAGGAAAAGCACAACAAGTCGCTCAAAGACAGTCTGCTGGCTTGTTTGGCAAGGTGGATCTGCACGACCTGAATACACTGAATATGTCCATCTACCAGCATCCTCCAACAGGTTACCAATTGAGACCTGTTTTATCCTGTTTGGGCCAAACACCCCTCTAGAGGAGACCTGTTGGAGGATGCTAGTAAAGGATTTGCACTCCCTGAAGCCATCATCATCATCATCATCGTCATCATCATCATCATGGTTACTTGGATGGCATGGCCCTGAACAGAAGACCGCGAAATGCCAAGACCAAACAGGGTGCCATCCACTTCCATCTTTTCGTGAGGTACTGAGTCTTTTCATGAGAAACTTCCAGAACTCTCTGCTTCCCGAGCTATCTTTTTAGCGGGCGCCGCCGCATCTTGGCCTGTAGTCCTTGTAGGGTTCGTTGAAGGGCACTCCAAAGACCATTCGCCTCGGTTCGATGAAATGGATGAGAAACGGGTGAAGAAGAGATGGAAGGTGAGGTCACTTGGTCCATCTTGGACCTGGTCACTTAGCTCCAAACCAGCACTTGAAGAAGTTGGTTCCACGTGTTTTGAAAGCTCGAGGCTCTATGCGATACGAATGGTCTGGCATCCGAGGCTTTTAAACCAATTGCTCCACTAAACTTAAAAGGCACCTTCCAAACACATTCAAATTCCCCATTATATATATATATATCAAACATTGAAACTCGACTCATTAGCACAATTCAATTTAATTAAGAGTGCTCAGGTGATGATCCCCCCACATCACAAATTCTCACCACTTCCACGCGCGGTTGACACACTTTAGAGAACCAATAGTCGAGGTAGGGATTTGTGATATTGGCTACTCAAGCTCCACCAGGCGTTTCCTGACAAGTTCAGCTGCCAAACCGCTTTGAAGGTCCAATTCCTAGCGGAGAAAAAGGCAAAACACACGCTGCCCAGGAGGTCCACCCGTCTCTTCACCTTCGCGTCACACGTCGTCAGGGCTCGGTGCCCAGGCCCGGTAGAGGTGCGGCTCACCATGCGGAAGTCGTTTTCGATGTCGTCCATGAGCTCATCAATGGCCTGGAAGCTCCAGCGTAGGGTTCAAAGTCCGAGCAAAGGGCTGAATGGAAAATGGGCTGGCAGGGTGGCAGGTGCGTGTGTCCGGACCCCTATGGAGGGCCCAAGGCTTCTTAGGCCTCCAAATTAATCCCAAACACTCCATGTATGCCATATATGCCTACATTGGGGTGGTGGGGGGTCAATGTAGGCATATATGGCATACATGGAGCGTCTGGGAATACTAGCATGCAGAATAGTATTGATAATACGAGATACATGACTGGTTCCGACTAATAATGAATCTCCTCCAGACCTGTCAGTGTCCAGCCAGGCCTCCAAATCGGAGCACAACACATCCTTACTTTTTACTTACCTTGCCAAACACTCCATTTTGTGGAATATGCCTATAGATTGGGTGATTGAAAAGCAGTCCATGCAAGCAAATATAATCATCACCTGGACCATCCAAATCACCACCTGGACTATACAAATCATCACCTGGGCCACCCAAATCATCACCTGCCATCCAGGTTATCACCTGGGCCATCCAATTATTTTTAGGAGATTTGGTGTCCAATGGATTACTTGGCATCTCCAACTTCGGAGTGTCCTGTCTGGGTGTCTTGGCTGGAGAAGTAGTGTGCTGGGTAGTCCAGCCAGGACACCCTGACAGGATGGTCTGCGGAGTCGTTTGCACTCTATATTCATTCAGGCGCTCAACCTACTACAGGCCTGCCACGTCGGAAGTCAGCTTGGGAGGGATTTCGGCTGTCCAGCCCAGAGCCACTGAATCATCCAAAAAAGAGCGCGCACCCGCTGCCTCCTACACACCTCCATCGGTAGGTCAGCTACCTCCTCAGCCACCTCCACCTCGCGAGACATTTTCAACGCTGGGCCAGCAGCATAGGGCTTTCCCAAACCTGATGGAAGGTGTTCGCCAGAAGGTGACTGAGTCCAAGGAGCTGCAATTCTTGAAGGCATCAATCCCAATATGGATCACCGAGTCCGGAATTGTCACGCTTATCAATGAGCGACAGTTTTGAAAGGCAGAATTCCCAATGTGGGTCACGGAAATCGGGATGGTCAAGTTCACCAACGAGAGGCAATTTTCAAAGGCACCCTCTCCAATGTGTGTCACAGAGTCGGGGATGGTCAAGTTCAGCAATGAATTGCAACCCTGAAAGGCCTCATTCCCAATGTGGGTCACAGAGTCCGAGATGGTCAAGTTCACCAAGGAGCTGCAATCCTGAAAGGCAAAATCCCCAATGCGGCTCACGGAGGCTGGGATGGTCAAGTTTGACAGGGACCTGCAATCCTGAAAGGCCGCATCTGCAATGTGGGTCACCGACTGAGGGATGGTCAAGTTCGCTAAAGAGCTGCAACCATCGAATGCACAAGGCGCAATGTGTGTGACCGAGTCTGGAATGGTCAAATTTGTCAAAGAGCTGCAATTGACATAGGTGCCCTCCCCAATGTGAGTCACCGAGTCGGGGATGGTCAAGTTCACCAAAGACCTACAATCAGCAAACGCCCAATTCCCGATGTGTGTCACTGAGTTCGGAACTTTTAAGTTAGACAAACAGCTGCAACCATCAAAGGCTTTATCACCAATGTGAGTCACCGAGTTGGGGATGGTCAAGTTCACCAAGGAGCTACAACCTTGGAAGGCAGAATTGCCAATGCGGGCGACTGAGTTTGGGATGGTCAAGTCCATCAAGTTGCTGCAATTCACAAAGGCGCGATTCCCAATGTGAGTCACTGATTGCGGGATGGTCAACTTGGCCACTGCATGGTGTAAGCAATGACTGCGAGTCAACAGCACAGCCAAGACCGGCAAACGCATCTTGGTGGGAGCAAATCACCATATTTTGCCTAAAAACAGCACTTGGGACAATATCTCCAGCAATTCCTGCGTCCAATACGTTGTCATCATTGCCCAGCAAATGGTTGCCTCTTCCAATTAGCTCCACACTTGTCGTCCTGCGAGTAAGTTCATCCCAAGGTTGTGAATCTTTGATCAGCTCCTTTAGCTCCCTGCCTGTTGACTCTGGAGTGATGTCAAGAACAATGACATCCCCGCTTGGCTGCAGCACTGAAATTTGCTGCATCACCATGGCTCATGTATGCCTTCAACGGATCAGAGATGTCTGCTTAGCTCCACGGGCCTTGCGAAGTGTTCTGCACTTGGCCTTGATGGTTGTTCTGACCCACCCCAGTTTCCTTCAAATAATCAAGGTTGACCTCTTCCACCTGTTCTCTTGCTCAGTGGGGAAAACAATCCAGAAAAAACAACTTATCCACTGAAGGGGTAGGTGTTTTTGGCGAGCTGCAGACGATGCATTTGTTATTTTCATGTTGATTTTCCTGGAGATCACCTCGGTCGACGTGGCCAGTGTGACTGTGGGTGATGAACAGAATGGACACACGCAAATTGTCGAGCTATAATGATTTGGAACCAGGGTTTTAACCCAAATCCTTGAATGTTTGAGAGGCTCGGAAAATAGAAACCTATCATTCTTGACACAGTCCGGGCAATGCTGGCTGAACCGCGTCCCTGCTTTCAGCGAGCGTGCACGCTAACCCACTTTCTACTGCATGATGGTTGTTAAATCGCATCACCTCTAGTATACAGCCGTTGAAGCGCAAAACCCTTCCATGAGCCCTGTGCGCGGACCCATGTTCTACTGGTTCTGTTCCTGACGTTTTCCGGTTTTGGCGGCCTGGGATTGTGGGCCCCTTGCTATAAACACAGATATATATATATATACAGTATATGTTTCATCGTTATATGATACTTCTTTTAGATGGCGGCCTGCCTTTTCCTTTGTCCTGACTAGCTTGGCTCTTGCTTGAGAGACGAGCAATGTGCAGTTTGCAATTCATCACTGAGGGACGTCCTTCGCAGCTTGCACATCCATGGCTTGGATTTGTTGTCCAGGAACCTGGAAAATAACATCGTTCCCCAGGTGAGGGGATTCAACCTTAGGGAAAAGAACACAACATCACATACGCAAAACCGGGTGAGTGGGCGCTCGCGACTCTTGGAGACCTTGATCTGCCACTTACGGCGCTTCACGGGCACAGCAGCACAGCAGCACCGCTCTGCTTTTCTGTGGAGAGCACGGACGGCATGTCTCGGGCCGCCTGCCGGGTGCGGGAGGTGTGAAGGATTGTGCAAAGGCCACCCAAAATATATGTGATACTCTCCCCAAAAACGAACGGTTCTCCAGGACTCCATGGGGCATGTTGTGGTGGTGATGTTTCAATTGAAGCAAGCGTCTTTCTATCCCAAACACTCCATGTATGGCATATTTGCATACATTGAGGTGCTTTGGGGGATCAATTTGAGTACGACGTTATGGGCCCGAACGAAACGAGGTGCGGTCTCCTTTCGTGCATGGGGTCATGATGGGTCCCGAAACCTCGTGGGGGCCGACGTACTATCGCACGCCATAGCACCACGTAGCACGGACTCCCTCAGTTTCCCGCTGACAGAAGAAGCTTGACCCCTTCCAGGGCCTTCAAGGGGTGGTTCATGGACACCCCGAATCACAGCTAAGGGGCTATAAATAGACACCCCTTCTACCAGCACCTTCCAACAGGTGCTTTTTGGATACCCCTTAACCTCTAAGAGGCTATATAACCACCTCTTGGAAGGTTCCTAGTCGGGTCCTGGTTGGTTTCTGTTCATCTTGAGTGGGGGGTGCCTCAGTTTCCCAAGAGAGCCTGGTGGAGGTGATCCACGACCGGACCGACAAGCTGACCGACATCGTACGATCCACCCGTGAGGGAGTCTGGAGTCTGCCAGAGCCTCGAGGCGGAGGTCGTGTTCGAGGCGGAGGTCATGGTTAGATAACAGTCACATGGAGTTGGGTAGGTGTTTTTTCATGTGGAGCGAGCCGCCGTTGGGTAGGTGATGTGGATGTGGCACCCCCAAGTGGATGTGGCACCCCGACTTCATCCGTTCGCAACCCTTTGGGACCAGTAGCTGGAAATCGGATCGACAGCTTCATGGCCGGTGGATCTGCAGCGGCCCAGGCGGCGGCGGCGGTGCAAACTCGTAACCAGCATCTTTTCTAAGAGAGGCTGGGCCAAATTGGCATGGTAAACAAAATATTCTAAATCATCGAATGCTGCATTGATTGGTACCAGGACCCTCCAAGGGGTGTCCAATGGACTACCCCACACTACCTGTAGGCTTCCAAACAGGGCACCCCTTGGAGGTCCTGGTAATGAACTTGCCGCAATGGCTATGTCCCCCGAAGTTCAAGCTTGGACCCCCCGAAGTTCAAAACCTGGAGATGCGCTTTGGCCTTGACGGACGCTGGACATCCAATGCGCAACACGCTTTTCTGGTTCTCTATCTCCAACATGCCTTTCAAAGGCTTTCCTCTACTACATTGCAGCTCGCCTGAAGAATCCTAGCTAAAATCGCAGGCAAAGGCCAAAGCTCAGGCTGCGATTGCATGCGTCCTGCTTTGCAGGTCGATCTGGCTTCCAGGCGGCGCAAAGGCCAGGCTGGCTCCCACCCCTCAAAACTCTAAAGCCTGAAGCTCTCCGAGGTTTCCTTCCGCTTGCTGAACAACCAGAACATGGCCAAACCCAAAAAACATCGTCAGCTGAACAGCCATCCCCAGTCTCGGATGTTGACATCATGGGAGCCCAAATGGCACATTCAAACTCAATCAACTGGAGGATGGAAACCTCCATTTGTGGACCTAACTGTACCAGGACCCACCAAGGATTTCAAGCCTGTATAATCATTTAATCACCTCCAATAAAGGCCTATATAACCTATATATATAGTGTCATAGTGTTTTGTATGTTTTTTTGTCCATGAATTTTCCTGGACACGGCCCTGATGAACTTCCGAATTCACCCAACTTTCCTGGCCCTCAGGTCATCCGCTGATTCGTACACTGCGACCTCGCTCGGAAAGCGCGGGACGGCGCCGTCTCCGTGGGCTTCACGATTCGCCTGGATGACTTCTTGGAGGACGTGGGCTGCTCGTGCACCTTGAA